CACTGAATTTTGTATCCCGAAAAAACTCCCCGCAGAACTGCTGAATCACCACACTGAATTTTGTATCCCGAAAAAACTCTCAGCAGAATTGCTGAGTCACAAGAAATGGTTACTGTTCTGGCCCCCACTTAGCCTGTTCCAAAAGTACAGTCACACAAAGCTTGCCAAAAGAAAACCTTTATCAGTCCCGGCTCACGCTGGCTGGGCGCCCAAAATAAACATAGATAAAGTCTCTGGCAACAAGGGTTACGCAGCAGAATGCAGAAACAAAACTCTTACAGCACCAGGTTTTCAGGAAGCAAAATCACTTATCCAAGTGTCTCACAAACTCAAACAGGAACGGAACTGAATTCTCCATAAACGAACGACGAACCACGAACGAACGAATGAACGTTGACTTCTGCAACCAGGGCGACTCAACTCACAGCAAACTTCTGCTGAGTCACAACACGATATATGACTGGAAACTTAGTGACTGTTCCAACTTACAACTGACCTGAAAAAGGGACTTATGTAATCCAGATGTGAAGTTCTGACTTTTGGGACCAAGGGTAAAATCCAGCAGGTTGTGACAGGTTCTGGAGAACCGGTAGTGGAAATTTTGAGTAGTTTGGAGAACCGGCAAATGTCACCTCTGACTGCCCCGAGTGTGGTGAGGATGGAGATTTTGCAATATCCTTCCCCTGGAATGGGTGGGAATGGAGATTTTGCAGTATACTTTCCCTGCCACACCCACCAAGCCAGCCACGCCTACCAAGCTACGCCCACAGAACCAGTAGTAAAAAAACTTAATTTCACCACTGGTTGGGACCCATCCAAAGTCATTTGCAGCAATTGGTTAGGCCCATTTATGACTGTTTGTAGAGTACTGTGATCATGATTTTATTATGGTTTTGTTGAAAACTGGCACTTTCTTTTGATTTCTGGCAAACTCATAAACCATCCGTTTAGTGATTTTTCGAACTTACAACAATGTTGAAAAAGTGAGTTATTTCACACTTACAACCACTGCAGCATCCCCATGGCCATGTGATCACAATTCAGTTGCTGATTTTGCAACTGGCTCATATCTATGACGGTTGCAGTGTCCCGGGATCATGTGATCACCTTTTGTGACCTTCTAACAAGCAAAGTCAATGAGAAGCCAGATCACTTAAAAACTGTGTTACCAACTTAACAATTGCAGTGTTCCACTTAACAACTGTGGCAAAAAAAGTTCATAAAATTAATCAAAACTCACTTAACAACTGTTTCACTTAGCAACAGAAAGTTTGGGCTAAGTTGAGGATTATATGTATAGCAAACCAGTGGTTTGTTTAATGATCTTTATAACATGCTACTGTACTGGGCAGGCTCCATTATAATTACATGTTGAAGACTACCTGTATATAGAAAGTGATTGTCAATTATTAGAACCACCTAACAAGGGTGAAGATATTGTATAATTTATTGTATAAACTGTCTTGTAGGCAGTGTTTTATACTGATGCACCACCATCTACTCAGCAGGCAATATAGTTCATTGCATGCCTATTTTGACCACCACCCTGTTTAGGTATAAGTAATTTAACTTTTCCACCATTTCTATTATTAGCTCTTCAGCATGAATATTTTCAAAGTATCTGGAATGTTTGCTGCATATTTGAAAGAACCACATTCCTAAATTATTTCTTCTCAATTTCTGTTGTTAGCTGTCATCTTAGTTATTACAAGACATATTGTGTCACTTTGATATATGTCTCACTATTAAGGTATAAATATTCTAGTGTTTATATACTAATGTGGCTTTATCCTAGCCATTCAAATATTGCAATCTCCTATGAATAATCTCAGAAAACAACTATATACACATATTAATTTGAGAATATCTTGAGGTGAACAAAATCTTGCCCCAGAAATCCTCTGTCCTTTTATTCTTTAAGGTGATCAGTTGGAGGCCAAAATGTAGCAAAATTGAGAAATGAAAGAATTCTTCTTTAAAAGGCAAAAAATGCTAAATTTAAAGAGGGATTGAAAATCTATCTAGGTAGCAGAACAGAAGGACACATAATTCTAATCACATGAAAGAAGGGAAGAAATTGGACCAAATAATAATAATTTATATATATTATAAATTTATATATAATTATTAGCTGACCTTGCATATATTTTCAGCATTTAAAGTCCTTCATGCAACTCGGAATTTGTGATCACAGCAAAATCTCTTTTTGAATGGTTAAGCAATATTTTATACAACAGTAAAATAGTAGCTGTCCCATCATCATTCACCAGCATTAAGCCAGTTTCAAATGGAAGAAAGGGCCATTTTTCTCCCCTCCTACCTTGGAAAACATTTGTTCTATTTGCTGCTGGCTTCTCATCTTCATTTTCGTAGGAGTTGATGGGCAGCAAATATCCACAGACTGCAACAAAAGAGCTGCAGTCTGCTGTGAAAATTAGGAGGGGGACAGTGAATGATTACTTTGTACTCTTAGAGAAAACTGGAATAAAATGTATTCATCAAGCAGCAAAGAGATCATTCATTATGAAAATGCAAAATTGTTTAAGCCCTTCAAGTGAAAAATAATAATTAAAAAATGAATAATCTGTTCACAAATACAACTATTCTAGTTTTATGAGCATTAAGATAAAACATACGTTTATATAATATGGTGCACTTCATCAATTTTGTTGATTCCGACATATTTGTTTCCATAGTATTAAAAACTCATATTTCACGAGTCATTATTTCAAAACAGTGACACCTATGAACATTAAGCTTACTTCTATTACAGGGGAATGTCACAAAAATTGGTATTAAAACAACATGTTGGTATCAAACTTGCAGAAAAGTTACAGCTGTGCAGCTAATTTCATCCAGTCCATTAACACATTTTCATAATTTAAAAAATTGTAATTTGGAAGTCCTAGAAGGAAATTACTTTGTTAAAATAGCAGCAACATTTGCAAAATTTAAATTAATTGGAAATGGTTTTCCAAACACATTAGTTCACAAATCTAAGATTCCTATTAAGTCACGAAGTTGTTGCGCCTTGATTTTGTCCAAGCAGAACATCTACTACTACAAACATCTGTGTTACAAAAGGCTCTTTAGTTTAAGCACAGCCCAGCTGAACAAAGAGAGGACAGCATATTATTCTTCCCGAATCTGTGGCACATGTATTTTACACTTCTATTTTACACTTCCATTGTAAACAATACCTTTTTGTTCTTTCTTCTCACACACATTCATGGTTTACAAATAGAACTAAACAAAATGCATGTATTTACTGAATCCAATCCCAAAAAGCACAAATCTAGTAACAGCCCAAACTTGACCTCAAGTATCTTAACTGCAGAATAGATTAATTGATAGTATATACTATCAATAGGAAACGTAAGAATATTATAGTCAAGGCATGAAAGGCCCAAGTTCTAAATCCTCTAAATGAGGATTTCAGTAACAGAAAATGAAACAGTTTTGAAGAAATGTCAACATCTAATAAGGGCAATGAGCAGACTTACTACTGCAATTTTTACTCAACAAAACTTCTGGATATTCTTATTTTTCTTTAATAGCACATACTGCAGCATTCTACTATCACGATGGAACCAAATCATGAATAAATGTTGCAGGATCTGATTGATTCATGAATAAGTGCATGACTCTATGGTATGAAAGGGTAATATTGTCTGTCTGGTCCTTGGCATCCCATAAAGATCCTGATTTCTCAAGATCAAGAAGCACATCAGCTCAAGATTGAAACTCAGCTCTTTTCAGAAGGAAAAATCCAAACCCAATCTCTATCTTATCTGGATTTACCACGGTTGCAAAACGCATTGCAGCATATTCAAATTACAATCTGACACTAATCCAATATTCTCATTTAAAAACATGAAAGAAATGCCAGTGAGTAAGGCAACAGCAATTGCCAGAATAAAACAAATCACACAATATACCTTGAAACATGATTGGGTCTTTTTTGAAAAACACTTGTTCTCTGAGCACACATGGATTGCATTCCCACAGTAGGATAAACAATGCTGCTAGGTTTGTCTCTCATCCCTTCAGAATCTTTTTAGTGACAGATTTTTGCACTAAGCAGTCAAAGTGTGCCAGCACTGGAGTGAGCGATACTATTGGTGTTAGCTGCAGCATGCCGATACATCCTTGAGAACTAGCACATCATTAGTAATACCTTCACAACTAAGGTCAGATGGCACACAAAGCAGTATATCCTTAAGGCAAGTGTGTAAAAAACATTTAATTTAAGCTCTTTATCATTGGTTCTCTTAAATTGTATATAGAATATGCACATATGTATGTAAGCATTTATGTGTGGGTGTGGGTGTGTATACACATACATATACACATACATACAAGTTTACATTTGATATAGACTAGTCAATTGGAACCGTACTCTATCTGACAATGTTGCTAGAATCTGTCCATCAGTCCAATTAAGAATTGTTTTAGAAAGAAGTTATGAATAGGCACAAGGTAAAACATAACATTTGTTCATATACAGCTTTTGTTTACACTTTGTCATGCAAGCACTACAAAATAAATGTTTAAAAGTTGTCAAGATTCTTCACAGAAACGTGAACTAGAGCTAATATTCTCTGTCCACATTAAACTCATAGACTAGGATGATGAATCTCATAATCTAACTGAAATTTACATTTATATTTAGTTTTGAAACTTGTAGCCCAATTCAATAATTTTCTTGCATCCCTTATTATCATTGCAGTCAATGATAATAAGTCAATTATTGTTATTGCAAAACAGGTCTCCCCCCTCTAATTTTGGCTAGTTGAATCCTTCCTCACCATCATTATTAAACTGTATATTTCTACAGCATATCCGAGATTACTATTAACAGATTTACAGAAACACATCGAAATTGAGAGTTACCGGTTTTGTGAAATTTTAACTATAAATATTGACTAGATGCTCTTGGAAACAAACTGTTATAATTCAGTCTCTGATCTATTTTGGGAAACTATCCAATTGTGTTGGAGCCAATAGATGAACTGGGTTATTCTGGATTTCTAGTCTCAAAAGCTCTGCAGAAAAATAAAGGCTATACCAAGAGACAAGATATAGCAAATTAAAATAAAATAGTCATTAAATGATCTTTAAAAATTAGGGCTTCTTTTTAAAAAATGTGCCTTAATTCTGAAAAAAAATGTTGTTTCATATGTGTGATTATCAGACATATTTTTGTCATTTCCCATCTTATCCCATTTCCTTTCCAAAGTTAAAAAAAACCTGCTAACTTGATTCTTTCTACAATTATGAAATATTATTGAAATACTGTATATAACTAATATGATATGAAATATGTGGATGTATTATCTTTAGTTTGCATTTTTATCCATTTCTATTATTTGCTTTACTATCTAAAATTACTTATACCAAAGAAAAGAAATTAACTATGTTCAAACTCTGTAGGTATAGTAGGTTAATCATTATTAGTTCAGAAAAAAATAATTAAAATTGTTAAATCTTGGTAGATGAACATATAAAGATGGATCATTAAAAATTGCCTCATTTCTCTTAATTATTTCCACTAATGTGTTGATTAGTTTGAAGAGTTTATCTCTCAGATGATAACCTGAAATGCATCTGATTTTAGTTCCAAAAGACAGTGGCTATTCAAATGTATGAAAAGGTGTTTTCATTCCTCCATTTTATTTCTCTCACATATATGTGAACAATTTCCCTTGATTCACTCTGCCTCCCAGTAATAAGGATTCAGCCAAGATATATTTATTTTAGGTCAGGCAAACATGGGTCCATGTGGCCTACCTTTGACTGGGGCGGGATGAAAGGCAAGAAGGGCCTCCTAACGGTTTGGTGACATCTCCACTAATCCTCCCTCCTTTGGGGAACAATTACAGATGTCAACTAGAAGGCATCCACAAGAAAATTTCCAAGGCATATTCTGAAAGGTTTTTGCTTGCAAACCCAAAGTAAAGCATTTTGGTATCATTCTGAATGATGAGAGTTCATGGAGTCACCTCAGCAGATATTGTCTATATTGTCATAGAAAATGCTTTCCATATGCAGATAGATTAGATACGTTTGTCAAAAGGATTAGACTAGGAGCCCCCAACTCCTTTAAAAAGTTTCAAATTGTTCAGTGACTCCCAAACATGCGGGTTGATATTGACCACTTTGGAAAACCTTGGACTAGACTAATATGAAAGATTAAGCCTGCAATGCATTACAATGATTGAATAGTAGTTTAACAATCTGTTAACGATTTATATTTCACCACAGGCTACATGCTTATAAACACCAGTTCTAGTGGGGATGCAACAGAGGTGATATCTTCAGGCTCTGTAGCTATGCTCCTCAAATCATGTAGATAGCATCAATGATTCCCCCCCCCCCCAATTCAGCTCCAAACTCTTTCATAACTGGCTTAAGACCACTCAAATTGAATGCAGAATGAAGGTTTCTAATCATTCTCTGGTTGACCCTTCTTTTGCCCTGATCAAAGACCAAGGGTAACTTTGTCAACCCTTACCTTGACCTTACATGCAACTGAATAGCCACGAGGAAGAAAAAGTACTGTTAATGTCTTCCCTATGTAGCCTAAAATCTATGGCAATCCTCCAAAACTACTGAAATAGGAATGAAATGGATGATTTGACCCTTTCTTCTTCATCTGTTTTAATGTGTAGATTATTAAAGGGTTGAAATACAAAGAATATTTTTTAAAGCAAATGCGAAGGAGGTAGAAAAAAGAAGAAAAAAGGCAAGATGATAAGAAAAAATCTTATTAATTTAAATTGTAAAAAACAAATATATATTGCATTATTATAAACCATACATTATATCCCCCTTTCCTTCCATCTGTATCCCCATTATTGGTCATAGTTACATTATTTGAACTTTACATCAAATATTAATGATTTCTATTTAAGTTTTAAAAATGGTATTCCAGATACTTAAATTTGCTTTGCTCTGTGATACAGTATATGCATGGGAGTCATGCAATGAACCATTGGTTCATTGTAAATTACTTCTCTCAAATTTTGTATCTATTTTATTATAGCGTTTTAATATATTAACTCTCTATATCAGTGTTTCTCAACCTTAGCGACTTTAAGTCCTGTGGACTTCAACTCCCAGAATTCCCCAGCCAGCTATGCTTCTGGGAGTTGAAGTCCATAGGACTTAAAGTCGCCAAGGTTGAGAAACACTGCTCTATGTCATATTCAGCAACAGTTTATGTACGTATCTAAGTAACCATTTCAGGCTCTGTCATATTTTTCAAACTTCCTCATCTTTTTTGAGATCGCTTTTTATTTTTCCAGTTATTTATAAACACATTAATCATGGTGGTTTGTCCTTTTTCATTGTAACCTACTAATTGTGATTGCTCATAATTTTTTTCCCCACAAAATGAAATTTATACAAGTGTATAAATTATTGTCTCAACAATTATGTTCCTCAACATAATTTCACTCTACTTTTAGCATAGATGTAATGATAAATAGATTCATAGATCATCTTTGTGAAAAGGGGTCTTATTTTTTGGCTATAAATACCAGCCAATCCTGAATTTGTTGTGATGTCAGAAAATAATTCAGAACAAATTGGTAGGATCCTTAGGTGAGATATAGATTTGTTTTACTTTATATAATGTGGTCTCAAATGAGCAAAACAAATCATTTACCTACACAAACCAAATTTTACTAGTTGAAACATATGCACATAGGGAAGACAAAAGCCTCATGTTACATTCTAGAATCAATTTAATGTTTTTTAAAAAAATGCAATACCTTAGTAAAGTGGTCCTCAAGTTTTGTATTACCATGACTGGCTTCCTAAAATGAAAAAAATAAATTTGAATAATCTCTTCATAAAAATGAAGCAGTTGGTGTTAGACTTTATTTATTTATTTTAATTTGTCAACAAGTACAAGGAAACAAGTAGGAAAAACACATGAAAAAATGGCACAAATAAATGGACAAAAATAAGCAAAACATAGCCATAAACATATAAAAAGAGTACATGTAAATGGGACAGTAGGGCAGGGATGGTAGGCACGCTGGTGTGCTTATGTATGCCCCCTTAGAAACCTCTTAAGAAATGCATAAGGTCCATGGTAGACACCTTAAGGTAAAAGGTATGGGAGTTAGAGGAACTAACAACAGGATTGATAGCATGTTCCACACTTTTACTATTCTGTTGCTGAAATTGTTTTTCCTCCAATCAAGATTAGAATGGAGTTGGGCAAGAGATAAATATATCCTATTTAAATAATGAAAATGTAACCCATATCTATATTTGTTTATTGGGCTTTTAAACTCCTATACCAATTACCACTATTGTGCCCTTGCAACATGTACAAAGCCCAAATGTGAATGTCCACTACCAGTATATTCTTATTTTGCCTACAAAAACCAGATCAGGTTAAAAAAAAAAAACATGCCCAACTGTTTCTCAACTGCATTTCCCCATTTGAGCTGTTTGTAATATTAATTAAAACTTTATATTGGGAGGGGCCTGCTTGTGCTAACAAAATTAAATAAAACTGAACAGTGTATATTATTCCATTTCACCATTTCTTAGAAACCTAACTATATATCTTCCAGCAGAAGTTATTTCAAAAACCATATACTTTGAAAAATCCCCATACAAAACTGGCTTTAGATGATACCATCTTTCTATTGTAAATTAGTTGCAATTGGTGGCATTTTAGAGATACATAAATATGGAGTACTAAGTCAAGAGCACATGACTCTGGGTCTTTTTCACAAGAAACATTTTGTAATAGCAATCTTCATAGCCCCTTTATTGCAGCTTTCTCTAAGGAAGGACCTAATAGACCCAATATATTAGAAGGGACCAGATTAAAGAAAGCTGCTCATTATATGAAACTGAATTAAGTAGTCGAAAAACAATTTCACAATTGTTTTGTTACTGAAAAGACCAATTTTCCTAAATTAAAGCAGAGCATTTAAAAATAAAAAGGTTATAAATAGATTTTTAAAATGTACTTACTTTTTTCAGCCTGCTATTTGGAAAGCTTTTAACTTGCTGGAGTGGCTTGATTCCAGTTGGAGTAGAAAAAAGTAAAGATTTAGCAGCGGACACTAGAGATTGAAAACAGAAAGTAAACATTGAAGCTCTGATGTAAATAGCATAACGAAATTTATTTTCATCAGCTGAAACAAAATGATCAGCTGAACATTTCCTCCTATACAGCAATTTTATACAAATTTCACTCATTGTGTTTTTCAATGGGACCTAGGAAGCATGCATTTTCTGTCACACCACCTGCTTTCTGGAAAACCAGAGATTAGATTAGCCTCGATCTGCTGGTCTTTTGTGAAGTATTGAAGTGTTCCAGGACTTGGGGCTTAGAAGTCTAGGTGGTTCGTGGAAGGATTTTGTTGATTGTTCTCTTCGGATTTTCTCTTGGTGACCAGTGTAAGTTTTTTACTCTTTATTATTGTTTGTTTGCTTGTTTGCTTTTAGGCCCTGTTTGGTGCTCAGAGTTGTGATTGTGAGATAGCTGATCATAGGATTCAATCAATCAATCAAATAAAAAATATAAAGTAAGTGCATCTAGAGGGGGAATTTTTTGAGAAAATTCTGACAAAGATGAGTGAAATGAACATATTTCAGGGCTTTCCTCGTGGCTGTGTCTGTGTATAGAGTAAGGAAGATGGCCTTGGTGAAAATATAAGCAAGAAAGTGACAAGGGGTAAATATTATTTTTAAATCCAGAACATCCAAATAATGTTTGGAAGTGGCTCTGACAGACAAAATTTTTGTGTGCACCGAATCGGCAGTAATGCCAGGAGCAACCCACCCCTGAAGTAACGGGAGCTCACTCTGTTACGGAGCACTAGGGATTCAAACTGCCAAATTGCCGGCCTTTCTGATCAACAATCTCAGCATTTTAGCCACTGAGCCACCGTGTCCCCTGCTAGTATCTATAGTCCAATCCATATTTCTCATCTCCTTGGTGCCACTTTGCCAGTGAGATTATGTGCATTTCAAATTAATTTATTATTTATTTAACTTGGCTTTAATCTTGCATTTTAACGATTGTAAATGCTCACAAGATCTACTAGGGGACAATTTCCTTATTTAAAATATTGGTCAGTAAAATAATAAATAAAATATGTGTCTGCTTTTCCTGTAGAGATGAATCTTATTCCATTCTCCAGAAATTATGAAGATACTCAGCTTCTTGCTTTTATATCAGGAAGCTTGTCCTTGATCTTTGGACCAGGAACATCTTCCCAAGCAAATTTCCAAAAGTTTTCATAATCTTGCTGGTTCTTTATGATGCCAAGTTTAGTTAGTTCATTCTGCAATCCAGTAACCTTAAACAAAGGAATGGAAGAAAAACATTCCTTTAAAATGTATGATTAGTTAGGGAGCAGCCATATGAAATATAAGATTTACTTTATAAATGAGGCAATGCATGCCAAGTGGAAATGGAGGTTCTGGAGTTGTTGTAGTACTTTTTTTATTCAAGAGCATACAGTAATTGTGATTTCTGCAGAAACTACATAGTTTTTCAAAAGTAATATTGCTCACCTAACCCATAATATATCTGGTTTTTTCAAACGATCCTGCTATAAAACAACTGCAATCATATTACAACTGCATTAGTAGAAGAATATATTTATTGCCAAATTTTAAAAAAAAATCCAACTATATATTGTTCAATGATTCTCAAACCTGATCTATATGGACTACCACTAGTGGTCTACTGCAGCCTCTCCTATTTAAGTCCCCTTGTCACCTCTTTCCCTCACCTCCCTAATAGTCAGCTAGTTTGCAAGCATGGATTAGGAGCTGAGAACTGGTTCACTGAAGTATACAAGTGATAATACAAATAGTAAGGCGAGTGCTAACATTCAGAGGACTGATAGTAAACAGATCTACCCACCCACTACTCCAAATAGAACTGTGATCTTACAGCAACATTTCAAAAAGAAAAGTGAATATGAAATAAGATGACTTCCTAAAAATGTGTTGGCTATAATCATTGTGTTAGGGCCTGAAACTCAAGGAATTTCTTTTGAAGAACACTCTTGACTAGAAAATTTGTGCTATGAATTGTTATGATGGCATGGAATATATAAAATAATTCAAGTGATAAATTTTTGGATTAAATGTTTTTCTAGAAAATTTAGTTCTCAAAGATACTTTTAAAAACAAGGAGGGTGAGAAGACATACAGAAATGCAACCAAAATCATTATTTTATTCTCAAAAAAGTGAAGTAATGTTTATTCTCTAAAAATGTGAACTAGCATAGACACAAAAAGACAGAATTGGTTTAACTGGGTGGTCCTTCTAGTTTTTGAGTGTTGATTTAGCAGTCCAAGGCCACAGAAAGTTTAAGAGAAAAATGTTATAGTAGAATTAACTGTTCTCTCCTATAAGCACATAACCCAGGACTTGCTAAATAAAAGCAGTAATCAGTCTTCATGAATGTAAACTTTTCAAGAAGTATCCAAAATGTCTGATGTCCACAATGACTGAATAAATGCTAAAAAATAACATTGGCTATCTATAAATAAACTTTGCCTGTTGTTGTTAGTTCACTTTACAGAAAAATTAATACTGTCATACAACTATATCCTATCAGTACCCAGACTGAAGTATGTTTTTCATGGTTATAAGTTTTTTCTATTCTAAAGGTAAGATCTGCATTTGAGAAAGATCTTAAAGTTATGCAGATTATGAGACAGGTCCTGAAGATAAAATGCATTTTCACAAAGTGCTGTGAGTGACTACTTAGGAACTATTTGTAATTCAGAAAACAACACATTTCCATACAGACAGACCACTAAGAAGATCAGCATAAAACTCAGAGACTTGTTTATTTCTTCTGTTAATTCCATAGTTGTTTGTATTATGATTTAAAGATTAATTTTAGTAGTTTTATAGTACTAGCGTAGGATAAAATTATAACCATCTTATAATTACTTCTTTGTGATTACATAAGTGCCTACTTTACTAATTGTTAACTAACAATTTGGAGGAAGAGGAGGACATGCTCAGAATATGGCAGGGAGATTAAGGCTGGTGTAGATGGGAACCCTTTAGGCCATGAATTTCTAATGACAAGAATAGGAAAATTGTAATCATTGGAAACTTATACCGGAAGTATGTTTACTAGCTGAGTAAACAATGGGTTTTAGTGCCCAGTGTTTGTCAGTGCAAATTGAACAGCTTTTCAAATTAGAGATTCTAGAAGAAGGTTTAGAAGTTACTTTTGGAATGGATAAACCAAGCTAGGTTGACAAGCTGCTTTTACATCATACGGCTGCTAGTGATATGGACAGAATGAACTGTTAGGGAGTAAAGAAGAAAGGAAAGAGGGCCAGGGCTTTTCACAGCTGACTCCTTAAGCAACCATTTGACTGTCCTGAAGGAAAAAGCAAACTCTTTTGTCCTAGGATATGCATTTGATATTTTCTAAAACACTTCAGTGACAACCACAAAACTAAATGGAGAAGGGTGTCTTACCCAGTAGCTGTTTGACTGTGACACGGACTCCAAGTACTTTGTATCTTGAGACAGTTTGCAGAAAGGAAGTTTACGACCAGGGGTACACTTTTATTAAAGAAGATTTTAAAAAATTGTTAATTTCTCCCAAATAGCTGGGAAACAAAGCTCAAAACAAATGACAAGTAAACATTCAGCCACAGGAAGCCATTAACCACAGTGGGCACCAATTAGAACTCAGCAGGCATTCTTAAGACCGCCTGGTGCTCCCCCCACCTCTCCCGCCGCACTCCCCAGCTTTGACCAAAGACTCACAAATACAGCCTTAGGAAACATCCTCTTTCATTCACTCAGCAATTTGTATTCTGGCTGATAGGCTTATAAATTTGTTTGTAGTCTTGTTCAATCTCCCTTCAAGTCTTCAAAAGTCACAAACTACCGTCTGGTCAAAAATTAATTAATTAATTTCTATGTAGTCTTTGGAGAAAGTATCATCTAAGTTGTAGCAGTTCCTTTCTTTTATGTTATTTATTTGGCATTCAATAATGAATTCTTTAATACAATATTTTAAAATAAACCAATCATTTGTTTTAGAGAATCCTCTTTTCTTTCAAAGGCTAATCCAAGTTCCGAAATGGTGGTATGACACAATTCCCATAATTTAGACTACAAACTAATGTCCGGAAATTAGTTATAGAAAAAGTAAGTTTCTTTGCTGCTGCTAACTGATTGTTTAGATTTTTAAGTCTGCCAGTATGTTGTGATAACTGAAGGCATTTTAATTTACTTTAATTATGATTATGAAATACAAACCAGGTTCAAACTATGATTTCATCAACTAAACAGGCATCCAGCTACAGGCAGGAACTTTTCTTCCATTTTTCCAGCTCTGAGTGTCATGAAGGCTGTTGAGGTGATGATATCAGGGTGGATTAATTTGAAATGTTCAATCCTACTTTCTTCCACTTTAAAAAAAAATATGTCTAAGTTTATGATAAACAAATTGCAGACCCCCAGTTTTAGTCACCAGGAAAAAAACCTGATTAATAATATTTTGAAACTTCCAGAAAATGAGGAGAGGTCCATGTGAATCTGAGATTCATCAAGATACATGGATATAATAGGAAACTGTATTGCTTTAAAATCTCAACTGGGTTGAGACTGATGTCTGGTCCAGCCAGTCCACTGTCAATTACAGTGATAGGCGGGAACAAATCAGACTCACCTCCAACCACATCTATTTGACATTTCATTTCCAATCTATTATTTTTCAAGCTATTATTCACATGGCTTCAGTACCTTTCTAACCACAATAAAGGAACAATACTGTCCTCCCATATTCTGTTCCAGTAAACACTCAAGGCTGAAAAATGTTCATGTGCATGATACATATAAAAGCAATACACTTCATATTTTATAAATTTTATTTCATATATATTTTACAAAAAGAACCAGAGGTGGGATTTAGCTGGTTCTCTCCGGTTCAGGCAAACCAGTAGCAGCAGCTGTGGGAGGGCCTGCCCACCCGCCTCGACATAATGTGCCTCATCAGATAGCTGTGCGCATGCACAGACAAGGCACATGTGAGCGAAGCAAGTGCATGCGCATGCTGTAAGTGAATTCCTCCTTTGTGAACAACTGTCATATTAATTTCATATGAAACTTCCATTTATCATTTATCAAGACTAGACAACTTCTTAAGTTACAGATTCTGCAATTAGCTATTTCAAGTTTTTCTATTTATCCTTTCATAACCTTCCTTGTTTTTTAATTGAAAATTCTACAAATCATGCTAATTATTTTTTTAATAACTAAAGTGGCCTTTAAATTTAGCCATTGATTTAGTGGCATTAAAAAGGAAACACCTATTATCTTATTAAAGGTAGTTCCTTTTGAGACAGGTCGTTGTTAAGAATACAGCAGATTATAAAGCATAAAGTAAACCCTTATAGGGAACATGACAGCCTTTTACCACTGCTTGATTGTTTTAGCTATCTTCACCCTTTAAATCTTTATAGTAACAATAAAATTACTGAAATTCAAATATAAACAGCAGTTGCATTTCCTTATCATTTCAGGTAAAACGTGGATCAGCTTTACTGTGACAATAGATACCCTCTCCTTCTGCCAAGGCAAATAGATTTTTTTAAAAGCAGCATAGATACTACTATGAAGTATTTTGCTTTCTTAATTTATGTAACTTCTGACAGCAGATTTAATAAAATTTCTAACAGAATGCCAGTCTCAAAGAATGAGAGTCCTATGTATTTCCTAGTGGCATATTTAACCCATTTTTCAGCTTCTAACACACGTGCTGTGGAATCTTTCCTGTTGAGCAACTGATATCAATTCTTCATCATTTTAAAGTAATTCCATAAACTGATTGTTCTTTTTAGGGGAGCTAGTTTAGTTTCAATCCTCCAAAATTTCTCTAGATCTGAACTTAGTACCATATAAGGGTCTCTGAGATATATGCCTGCAAACAGACATACAAATTTATGGGGTTGTATGAAAACTTACTTTAAAATCTTAAATTGTGAAGACATGGAAATTGACATACCACAAAGCATGAAAGATGGAATCCAGTGCTGTAATGCGATTTGCTTGGTTTTGACTTAAGAGGTACAAACCTAATCACCTGGAGTTTATTAAGTAAAACATACTTAAGGGAACCAGGATTAAGTCTTTGTGTAACGTGTGGACCCAGATAATTTTATGTGATAAACTCACAGGGAAGAACTATATTATTAACAATACTTCTATCCTGCTCTTCCATATTGTAGAAAATTTAAGCTAGGATCGTAATAATTAAAAGTTCGGCATTATATAAGAATTAAAATAAGCAATAGTCAAGCAAAGTTAAAAATGGAAACAGAAGCATAATTATCTATTTTAAAAAAAATTCGAATTTAACCATGATTTGAATTCTGTTGCAAAGGCAATGTTGACATAGACACACAAATCTCATCTGGGTTAATATTCCAGAGCTGCAATCTAGAGCTAAATTTCTTTCACCTTTGAAGTTAACATCAGGGACCAGTAGGAGATTTATAATCCTACACTTTTCTCTCTCCTTTTTTTCAATCGTGTCCAATTCTCAGAGACTACCTGGATAAGGTTCTACAGCTTTCTTGACAAGGTTTTTCACAAGTGGTTTGCCAGTGCTCCCATCCAAGGACTGAGAGAAAAGTGACTGGCTTAAAGTCACCCATTGGCTTTGGGCCTATGTTGGGGCTAGAATTCACAGTCTCTCATTTTCTAGCCTGGTGCCTTAACCACTATATCCCAAACTGACTCTCACCCAGAGGTGGGTTGCTCCTAGTTTGGCCCGGATTGGGCGGATCGGTAGTAGTGGCGGTGGGAGGATCCGTCCATCCGCCTGGACACTTCTGCGCATGCGCAGAAGCATTGCGCGCGGGCACGAGAACACATCCAAACCAGTGGTAAAAAAATTGGCAACCCACCACTGCTCTCACCCTATGTTTTAGCACAACGTAAAAAAAAAGTGGTAGGTTTATTTTAAGTATTTCAATAATTGTTCCCCAAAAATCTATTCTATTCATATCAGTTAAACTTTGCTACAAATGATTGATGTTATCTGAGGTATATGGGCTCTAAAATGTTTTCTGTTGTCCACAATTCTACATAAATAGGTTTACAGCTTCTCCAAATGTGAAGCTAAATTCACATTCTGAAAATTAAGGTGAGCCATCTATTTGTGAAGGCTATGCATTCAGTTTCACTATGTTTGGGTAGGGAAGCAATCCTACATAAAGGTGAAAAGGAAAGCTTTTGACAGTAATAAGGAAGCTGATTTGGTTACAAGTTTTGCTGTCCTTCCTAATATTGTGGTCTTTACATACACTGGGGGTATTGCAGTAAAACTACATACCAAGCAACTGCATAATACAAGTAGCCCTCAACTTACAACAGTCCATTTAGTGACCGTTCAAAGTTCTATGGCGCTGAAAAAGTGACTTATGACCGTTTTTCACACTTATGATTGTTGTAGCAGCTCCATGATCACGTGATCAAAATTCAGAATGCTTGGGAACTGACTCACATTTATGATGGTTACAGTGTCCTGGGATCATGTGATTACTTTTTTGCAACCTTCTGACAAGCAAAGTCAATAGGTAAACCAGGTTCACTTTAGAACTGTGTTATTAACTTAACAACTGCAGTGATTCACTTAACAACTACGGCAATAAACATCGTAAAATAGGGCAAAATTCACTTAACAAATGTCTCGCCTAGCAACAGAAATTTTTGACTCAATTGTGGTCGTAAGTCAAGGACTGCCTGTAGTTCATAACTAAAAACTCTTCTTTCTCCTTTTTTTCTAATAGCAGTTGCCTCAAACATAATGGTACATTTTTTTATTTCTATACTGTGGGTTCGGTGTTTATTGTTAGTTTGCTGCATAATACTTGCAAAAACTTCTTTCTTAAAAACACAATTTAATTAAAGCTATAGGCTGAATCCCCACGTTAGCTTACATAGGGACTATTAACAGAAAGAAAAGGTGAACCATTAGAGTACAAAGAAAAATTTAAAACACAAGCATATTGGCATAAATTGACAAAACAAATTTTCTTTGAAGTTCAAAGATTGTAGGCCTTTGATATTGGGCAGCCTGATTTTCGCATATTCATTTAGATTTCTACAACAAGTAATTGAAGTATATCCTTTTATTGGAGCAAAACATTATTTTGTAAGGTGATATTTTATTTTTAAAATGATGTAGTGTAGTTATTTTTTGAAACAAGTCTGGAATGTTAAATATTTCGGTTATTTTTCTCTGGGCATTAACTTTAATTAAAAAACCAAAATTAAAGGAGTTTTTTCATGAGTCATGTGGTCATAAAGAGAATTCATTGATGGATTTGTTTGTTAAATATGGAGAACTGTCCTTTAGAAGAGGAAATTCTTTTAAGGAAGTTGTTCAGAGAGGAAAAAAAAATCAGGATGAAGCCAGCAAAAGGTGTGAAGGATTTCCCTTTGATTTCCCAATGTGTGTATTTGGGTTGAGACATAGACTATATTTAATGCACATATTAATAGCATGCTAATAAGACAACAATCTCTACTTTAACATTGGTTTCAGGGTCAGTCTGATATTTTGAGTTTTAAGACAGAATGAGTCTTGCTTTCTTATAGAACCAGAATAAAAAATCTGAAAGAAGAAAACTTCTGAAAAAGAATTATTTATTTAAGATTCATATCTGTTTAATTCCTCACCCAACACAAAATTTTACTTCAATCAGATACAGCCATGTCAGAATACTAATATGTGTATATGTGTGTATTTATATTTGTTTGTTTGTTTGTTTGTTTTCCTTCTTTGGACTTATTTGTTGTCTAACAGAGCTTCTCCAAAGTTTATTTCCCCAACCCTTCCGTGATTCACAACAGCATACTTGAACATCAGATGAACTCCAAAAGAGTACTTCAGACCAATTCTCTGGTTTTTTTTTCTTTAAATTTTTGAAAATTTGGTGTATTAAAACCACAAACTGTGATTTCCAATTAATTTTTCTAACTAATATTAAGGAAACATTAACTGAGATAAACAGAGTTTGTAGTGTCACCAAACTAAATATGCCTAGAAAATAGGATAGATGTAAGTTAAAAAAAAAGAACTAGAGCAAACAGTTTTATCCCTTTGTTAGAAAATTGTATTCTGCAAAAATCACTGTTTTCTTAAAGAAAAGTAAAACTCAAGTTCTATAAAATTTATTTCAGATCTACATACAGATTCACAACCACTGCTTAAAAGATATTCTCTTAAACTTTAATTGTGTGATTATTTAGATTTATCTTCTGCTATACAAAATTAGAATATTCAAATTAAAAAATATTTTAAAAATAGCTTTCATATGTGTTTTTTTTTCTTTCACTGAGTTTCAAAATAATTTAATTTTTATGTTGAGGAAATGTTAATTATTCAGACATTAAAAAACCTATGCACTAAATGCATATGCCACTTCTTTTTCAGACTGATGTTAAATTTTTGGGAACGTAAATTGAGATGAATTGTGATATATATGTATGTTTGATATTTATACATTTTAAATGTAAGCCTTATTCATTGTTTAGGGTCTATTATTATACTAAACCATTCCAAAGATTTTATATAATATTTTGATTCCCCAAAAACCCAGGAATCAATGGGAAAAGCAAAGATACCAAACCCATTAGAACTAAAAATCTGTAGAAATTCTGAATTAGAGCAATGCATTATTGCAGGTTCATGAAGGAATCAAACTAGAGCTACAAGATGTCCCTAAGCAATCATAGCCTTGTTCTCCCATAGAATTTATTTAAAGTAGCTGTTTGAAACTACCCATTAAAAATTCAATGTATTTTCAATAAAGCAACGCAAATGTCAATTAAAATGATAAAAGCCTATATGAAAACACTGTTTCAAATTAAAACCAGCAATTAAAGGAACAATTGTGTGCTAAACCTGATATACTTTACAGGTATTTTAAGCACATTCAACTATTAAAATAGTTATTTATTTCAAGAAAGACTACAATGTTAATTTGAATGTGAGATATTATACTGCACAGGAACATTGGTGAAGAACAAGTTAGATAATAAATAAATTAGACTACAATTAGGAGAGAAATGGTGGCTATCTGTAGCCCTCTAGGGCATTCAAGGACATCAGAAGATTGTAACAACTTCAACACAAATAATGCAATATATCTCAGAATTAGAGGGTACCATAGCAATTTATACATAAGACTATAATACTGATTTAATATATCTGGAAATATAACCTAAGTCATAAAGTATTTTTCTCTGTAGTGCCGTAATCCTAAAAGCCAATTTAACATATATCCAAACACTTGTACTGTATATGACAATGGGATTTCTGAACTCCAGAAAGGTTTGATTCCTATTATTAGCCTTTACACATCCTATTGTCTATGCACTTAGAATTCAACTCTGTCTCATCTTTGCACATAACTTGAAGTTTCAGAAAATCATTGAAAGGAGTTTTTCCATTCATGGAATTGACAACAATGTGTTTCTCAACAATTAATTTTCTGTTGGCTATCAGCTAACTTGCTCAGTAAACTATTCCAGGTATGCCTCATACACATTATTATAGTTTGCAAAATTGTAGATATTGTACTCACACATAAAATATTTGTAATAATGCCCATATAAATTTTAATGAAAGCTCTAAAAATATGCATAATTAAAATATGAATTTTCTAGTTTCCTTCTTGATTTAGCCATCCCTCCCCCCCCCAAAATGTGTACCTTTTGTTCTTTGCGCTTAAGTTGCTGCTGTTGTTTCAGATCAAATGCCTTGATCTGAATTCGTTGCTTTAGCACTTTCTCATTCAATAAAGTCTTGTAGCGTTCATATAAGATATTTCTTATCTTGTAAAGATTCTTGTAGGTTTCAAGATGATGCTTGATTAAAAGAATAGGAAGCATTATAATTGGAAATTCTTTCAGGAAAAGCAAATACCATGAATGTTCAACTTAAACCAATACCATAAAGTTTTCTTAAAAGATTACCTAAAAATTTCTTTAGCAAATTCAGAAAACTGCTTTCTGAAATGCCAAAGCAGGTTCTATAAAGTTGTTCTTTGAATGTAAACCTTTTTTCTAAGACCATTTCATTTTTATAAGAACATTTTTTAAAGAACATCATTCCAGAGATAGCATATTTTCCTAACAAAATGTAACTTGTTGCAGATATATTCTTACTAAGTCTCAGTACACTTGAAAAATGATTTGGAAAAAGTGATTTAACCTCCCATAATCACAGCACTTTCTTAAAAACAACTCAACACTTTTCATGCTTTAACATGAGTATAAAAGAAAAGGATCTACTCATCAAAGGTCAACACAAACTTTACCACCCTGACATCTTTTTTCAGCCTCTCCTAAAAGCCACAATGATGCAGATGATGGGATTACACAAATTCCAAGAAGTATCTCAACGGTATTTTCCAAAAAGCAACTGGATTTTCTCGTGGCTTTTGTTGTTGTTTGTTTTCAAAGGACACCCTCCCCAAGAAAGTCCAGTTACCTTTGGGAAACCATGAGTAGATGATTGAGAATCTCCATAGACATTCCAAGAGCTATGGACAACCTTAATTCTTATTCTCTTACATTTGAGAGTGCTTGGCTGCACAGTGCAATTCAGCAGTGCCACCTTGTGTTGCATCGTTTAATCACACTTTGACTAGCCCTAATATGTGAACGTGTAAATTTCACAGCAATATAATCTCTATCATGCTCACTTTATGCTACAACAATAATTCAACTTAACCCAGCTAACTTGAACTCATATTCAAGCTGCATGATAAATAGATTGCAAAATCACAACACATATATTTAAACAATACTATTATACCAATATTTCCTTGTAAAATTTGCTATTACAAGTACCTGTATACATTAAGTTTATGACAACATTCACTTTTCAAATGACATTATTAATTCAGTAGGATTAATATCATACTTTCAACACATAATAGCATACATTGATTTCTAATTCCATTTTATAGATGCATATCATTGTGCTAGTAAATGAATGTGTATTACACAGTGAATTCATGTGCATTACACTTAACAGTTGCAGAATGAAAAGACTCTCTTTTTGTACTGGAAGTAATAAACACTGAGTATTATGAAGATTCACCAATAGATGATGCTATTGAGAACCAACTCAATAGAATTTTAAAAAACAATCACCAACTCAAAGTGTATGAAAATGTAAAATCTTGGAATTAAATCTCACTATCACTGACTTCATAAAAGGTAAAGGTTCCCCTCACACATATGTGCTAGTTGTTCCTGACTTTAGGGTGTGTGTGTGTTTATCTCTATTTCAAAACCGAAGAGTTCAGCATTGTCCGAAGATGTCTCTGGGGTCATGTGACCGATATGACTAAATGCCGAAGGCGCATGAAACACTGTTACCTTCCACCAAAGGTGGTCTCTATTTTTCTACTTGCATTTTTACCTGCTTTCGAACTGACTTCATAAATACATCCATATACTTTCCCCTGCAACATTTGCCTCCTTATTTCTGAAAAGAAGCCCTTACTTTTTAATAGAACTATCAGTACTATTTTCTGGGGATATGAAATAACTCCAGTACAAGACGATTGGAGAAAAAACTGTGGGATTGGTACAATGTTTCACAATTAAAATATTTAAAATCTTGATTCTTTAGTTCCATCTATAATTCTAGTCCTTATTCACACAGTATATAAGCAAAATGTGTAAACCAGGGGTGTCTAACCTTGGCAACTTTAAGACTTGTGGGTCTCAATCCCAGAATTCCACAGCCAGCTATGAATTCTGGGAATTGAAGTTCGTAGGCCTTAAAGTTGTCAAGTTTAGATACCCCTGGTGTAGACAGTATTTATTTGAACTCTTCAATAACTGAAGCTGTTCCCACCTTTCCACATTGCAGTTCTTATAGGCACAAAAAAACAACAACCCTGATATACAGCAGAGTCTTGATTAATTTTACTTTTTCTTTAAATAGCCTTTCTGCATTCCATCCTCCTTTTCCATCCACATTGCATCCATTACATCAGGGGTGTCAAACTGAAGTCGTCACGTGACGTATCGCAATTCCCCCCCCCCCTTTGCTAAACCAGGTGTGGGTATGGCCAGCATGACACATCCGGCCTGCAGGCCGCGAGTTTGACAACCCTGTATTACATCAATTACACTTCAAATAGAACAGAGGTTGTTGGCCAAGAACAGGTAAAATACATGGCTAATGTGTAACAGCCTTTATTGAAACTACGTTCAGAGTTCTTCAGATATTTTAGATAGGAGCCGTGCTGGTGCAGTGGTTAGAATGCAATATTGCAGGCTAATTCAGCTGACTGCCGATTGCCAGCAGTTTTGCAGTTCAATTCTCACCAGCTCAAGTTTGACTCAGCCTTTCATCCTTTCGAGGTTGGTAAAATGAGGACACAGATTGTTGGGGGCAATATGCTGACTCTGTAAACTGCTTAGAGTGGGCTGTAAAGCATTGTGAAGCAGTATATAAGTCTTAAGTTCTATTGCTATTGCTATTTTCCAAGGCATGTAATATCAGTTTATCAGCAAGCAGCTCCCATAAAGAAGGAGATGTTGGAACAAAATGACATGTGATGGATCTTATAGGCCATCCAGGGAAATGTTTGGAGTTTTTTTGCCAAGAAACAGCTGGGTGATTTGTCTTGTGAATTTGAATAGGGCATTAAAGCATTTTGTCAGCAATGCACAGCAGGTATTTTTAAAATATGAAGCACTATGTTTTGACAACCCGATGCCCTCCAGATATGCTAGATCCCAATTTCCATCATCTCCAATCAATATATAAGAAAGCTACTCTAAAACATGGCTACGCCAAACAAGCGAAATTTGAAAATTGATTGAAGCTAAGACTGAGATAACAAAGCACGGTAATTTATAGAATCAGCCACTCAAGGAAATATTTATTTATGAATTTATTTATCAATCAATCTATTTAAAATGCCAAAATATACTTAGTGGAGAAAAAAACATCATTTGCATTATCCAAGCATATTACCTTTTCCAGCAGAGCTTGCTTGATGAGTTCATCCTTTTCTTCCTCGCTTAAAATGCGGCTGTTGTTCCTTATCTGCTCCTTTTTGTTTTTTTCTGTTTTTTGCCAATTTGCTCTGTTCTGAGCCAAACAAAATAAAATCCCGTAAGAACAGTAGGGCATCATTAATTGCTGTTTTAAAGATCCTTTTAATCTATGTGTGGCTGCCAGTTGCATTTTTTAACTTGATCACACTAAAGAGGGATAGAGTCAAGATCATGAGAAGTATTAGTACCACTTTATAAAACCTTAGTAAGACCACACCAAAATACTGCATGCAATTTTGATCACTACATTACAAAAAAGATGTTCAGACTTTGGAAAGAGTGCACAGAAGAGCAACAAAAGGGCCTGGAGACTAAAACTTATGAAGAATGAATGGTTGCAGGAATTAGGTATATCTAGTCTAATGAAAAGAAGAACTAGGGGTGACATGATAGCAGTATTCCAATATTTGAGGGGCTGCCACAAAGAAGAGGAGATCAACCTATTCTCCAAAACACCAGAAGACAAGATGAGACAAAATGGATGGAAACTAATCAAGGAGAGAAACAACCTAGAACTAAGGAGAAATTTCCTAACCATGAGAACAATTAACCAGTGGTATGGCTTGCCTTCAGACACTGTAAGTGCTGGAAGTTTTTAAGAAAAGTTTGGACAGCACTTATCTGGAATGGTACAAACTATCCTGCTTGACCAGGAGGTTGGACTAGAAGACTTTCAAGATCCCTTCCAACTCTATTATTCTGTATTCAAAATAATTAGGAAGGCCAGTGGCATAATTAAATAGCGCCCATACAAATTGTAATGCTGGTAGCCTAACTTGGCTTGTGATACTAAGTAGTAGTGATTGCAAAGGACTTCATTTTTTCCTCCCCAAATCTGTTGAATGGAAAATAACAAAACACATGAAATATCTGGAATATAACTGAGTCAGCAAGGAGCCAGGTGAATTTTGTATATAACTCTAATGATACCAGTACCATTTTTAAGGCATTGGGTTCAAATAAAATGCATTTTAAATGGAATCATTAATTCTGGAGCAATTCCTTTAAATAATGAAACTTTTTTTTAATCTGACAAGCAAAAAAGTTTGCCAAACTAGAAATTAAACTTCACATAAAAGTCTTCTCAGTATGTGCAAAGATTATGCAATAACGTATAGCCAGAAAACAATATAAGTACCTAAGGCAAGCAAAAAGAAAATGCTATCAAGAAAAAATAATTGTGTTATGTTCTTCCAAATGTAATAGTTTTCCTGTGTTTATAAACTACTGCTTTTTGGATGAGAACCAACCTGCTTCAAAAGAACATTTGCTCAAGCTGGCAAAAACCTCCTGCACATTGTGTGCAATTCTTTGCTACCTAGGACACACTACAAACATGCGTAATCCTGGCATTTCCCAAAAAAATCTACTAAACCTCAGAGTTTAAAAAGCCACCAAAATACCAAGCAGTCTCAGACACAACAAAAGCAATAGGGATGTGTGTGTGCACATAGAAACCTTTAGGCAACTAAGACATTCCTTTATTTCACTATAACAAATATACACTGGAATTATAAAAAAGTCTATAATTCACTGTATCTAATCCTTATTAGGTAAGGGAACAGGCTTTTAAGTCCAAACCAGATGGGTGAACATTCTTAAAACAAGGACCCTGCATCAAAATGAGTATTTAAATAGTATTGCTTAAATAATATTTGAGTCTCTTTGAGAGTGGGCGGCATACAAATTAAGCTAATAAATATTTAGATGTAGAACTGTATACTGCCAGGAGAAAGATTTTTCCAGAGGGAGAGTAAAACTGCAATATCTTAACCTACTCACTGAGTGTGTGTCCTTAGATGTTTAGTTGTATTGTCTGTGATAATTGCACAGGTCGTGCTCAAATTACAACTTTAATGGAGCATGGAATGTTGTTCATAAGTCATAGCAGTCATTAAGCGGGTCACAACCTTTGTTGAGGCTGTTGTTAAGTAAATTTTGCAGGAAACCAGAAGTAAATAAATCACAGTCATAAATCATGAGGGTGAGTCTGCAGGACACTGCAAATATGTAGGCCGGTTGCCCCAAATGCAATTACCTGATTGGGGGATTGTTGTCAAAACTTTGAAACCAGATTGTATGTGGCTTTGGGGAGATCTCTTGATCTCTTGACCATAAATTTGAAGGGTTGCTAAGTCGGAAGGCAAGCTCTACCTATATTGCCAAACAATCTTAAGAATCTGCTATTTATTTTCTGGTGGGTTCCTACCGGTTTGGACTGGTTCGGCCGAACCAGTAGTTCGAGGCCTGCCATGCCCCCAAACCAGTTCTCTGGGCGGCGCCTATGGCGGTGCCATCTTGTTTTTTGCTTCTGCACATTGGACTGTGCATGCATGCACAGCGTGTGTGTGCATTGCGCACCCATGAGTAAACTGGTAGTAGTGAGTGCCGGAACTCACCCCTACCACGCACCCACCCACCCACAATACATTTGATCATAAAGTATTGCACAATCTTTGGAGAACATTCTCTTCTGAAAACCTGTGGAACTTTTTGCAATAAGGGACAGGAGAAATGGTTGTGTCTTGCCAAGTGCAGAACTGATTTACATATCACATTCCTTCTTAGCTATTTTTCTACCAAGTAGCATAATATAACTTTTGCATTTTTGCCCAAATTCTACACAATATACTTTCAGAATTACACCATTGCTTTTTGAACTGCAGGTTTACACTTAATTTAAATATTTTTTTGATGAACCAGAAAATAGCTCTTAGCTTTTCTGATAGTTGTGAATGGGTTTAGCATGATGTGTATCAAGATAGAAAGACCTGACCTTGAGAAATTCACATTTCATGCCTCAAAGAGCAAAAGGATTAAGCCCTGAAATGCAAGAAAACTGTTCAGGTTCCACATTAGTATAATATCAATAAAGGACCTCCTGACACATTATATACTAAATCTGTGTGAACTATTTAGAAGGAGCCCATGTGTGCAAATAGAAACATTTCCATTACAACTGCTAATGAAGTCCTGCAATTTTCTGTCAGCCCAACAAGGTATGCAAGACTAAGAAATTAGTGCTCTACAGATCAGGATTACTTTTATGGGAATAGCTATAGTAATTCTTGACAGTGCTTCCCCCTCTCTCACTTTTATCTCAATGTGAAATAGGGAGGGACATTCTGAGTGTCAACCCTGAAGCTGACTTGACCAAAGCCATCTTAGAGCTTCAGTAAGGTGACCAGATTTTCAGATTGGTAAAGAGGGACACTATTGACCGAGGGGGGGGGAGCTAGGCCGCGGCGGTTACTGCCAGCCCGCGGCCTCGCTAGGGACGTCTGGTCACCTTAATTATACATATCCTCTCTATATATATCCATCCATCCGTCTGTCTGTCTATCTGCCTGCCTATCTGTCTTTCTAGTTATGGTATCCCTCTCCCTCTTCCCCCCCCCTCTCCATCCGTCTATCTGCCTGCCTATCTATCTCTCTCTCTTTTTCTCTATCCATCCGTCTATCTGCCTGCCTATCTGTCTATCTA